CATTGCTGGTATTTGATAATCTGAAATACGTTTTGTACTAAGAATCATTGATTTGATGATATGGCCCCCTCCCAAATTTTTTCCTCTCCTCGCCACAACTATTCTAAAAATTCATCATTGAAAAGTTTTTTAGGTCCAACTAATATAGTAGTAGTAAGCATATATAACACATTCAAGATGTGAAAACATTAAACAAAAGTAAGCCTCAACAGATTCATGTCCCAATGATCAAACGACCAAACAGAGCCACATAATTAAAATTATGGAATATATGTTTTCACATAAAAACGTAAAATTTCCCGTGACATCACATAGTTTCATAGACCACAAACCACCACAAAATATTAGTTAATATCACCTATAAAAACCCACGAAATACCATCTTTGATGCTTGCCCAAGTGGAAAACTTAAATACTCTTTCTCTCTCTCTCCACAAGTCACATATATCACTGCAAGATGGACATTTTGGACAATGAATACAAAAACTACTGGGAAACAAATATGTTCCTGCAGTCGGAAGAGCTCGACAGGTACGATATATGTCTCGACATTCCGGTTATTTTTGTTATTTTTTTTTTTTTTTTTCATAAAGGGGACTAGTTGATGATGACGTAAGTGGTGATGTCATTGCAGTTGTTACCTAGAAGAGGCTGCCTTCTCGGGCTATTACGACTCGAGCTCTCCCGAAGGAACGGCTTCCAAGAACATAGTCTCCGAGAGGAATAGGAGAAAGAAGCTCAATCAAAAGCTGTATGCGTTAAGATCTGTGGTCCCCAACATCACTAAGGTCCAAAACAATCAATATATGTTTCGTTTAATGACGGAATATTAATTAATTAATTTTTGTAATTGATTGATTATTAAATGTTGCAGATGGATAAGGCGTCCATCATTAAAGATGCGATTGCGTACATCCAATCGCTGCACGATGAGGAGAACAAAATTAAAGCTGAAATTTCGGAGTTAGAATCAGCAGGCCAGCTGCCTTATTCATCCGACTGTTGGAATAATAATAATAATAATAATAATAATAATAATTGGTCTAATAAGCCAGTTAAGAGAACCAGAGTTGACGGTAATAGCTCTAATTCTTCTGGCTCGGGATTGGTCCACGTGGCATCTCCAATTGAAGTTCTTGAGGTTTTTCTTTTTTTTTTTTTCATTTAAATTAAAATATTCATCAATTTTAGTTAATTTCTAATTGTATATTTTAATTTGCAGTGATGATGACTAATTATGTAATATTATTTTAATTTTTTTTTACAGTTGAGAGTGTTGACCATGGAGAAGGGGATTGTGGTAGTGAGCTTGACATGTTGTAAAAGATCATCAGACACAATGGTGAGGCTGTGTGAGATATTTGAATCTTTGAACCTCAAAATCATCACTTCCAATATCTATACTTTTTCTGGGAAGATTGTGAAGACTGTTTTCCTTCAGGTATCTCTTTTTTTTCTCTCACATTACAAATATATATCAACAACAACAACATAGCCTTTAGTCCCAAGCAAGTCGGGATAGGCTAGAGATGAAATTTAAGAGAAACAATGGGAAGAAAAACACAAAAAGGGTTCAAAACAAAAGGAAGAGGTTGGAACAAAAAGAGAAAGGAGTAAAAGTCACGGTTCTGGCACGTGGATTGCTAGCCTCCAAGCGCTCCTATTCACCGCTAAATCCTTGGAGATATTCCAATATTTAAGTTCTCTCTTAACCGACTCTTCCCAAGTGAGTTTAGGCCGACCTCTACCTCTCTTTACATCCTCGACCCGACTCTTCCCAAATGAGTTTAGGCCGACCTCTACCTCTCTTTACATCCTCAACCCGCTGTAGAACTCCCCTACGTACCGGTGCATCAGGAGGCCTCCGTTGGACATGTCCGAACCACCTCAGCCTATGTTGGACCAATTTCTCCTCAATTGGAGCCACCCCGACCCTATCTCGAATATCCTCATTCCGGATTCTATCCCTTCTTATGTGCCCGCAGAACCAACGCAACATACGCATCTCTGCTACACTTAGTTGTTGGACATGTTGCCTTATTGTAGGCCAACATTCGACACCGTATAGCATTACCGGGCGAATCGCCGTCCTATAGAACTTACCTTTTAGCCTTTGTGGCACTCTCTTATCACAGAGAACGCCCGACGCTTGACGCCATTTCAACCAACCGGCTGCAATTCTATGCCTAACATCAGCATCAATGCCGCCATCCTTTTGTAGCATCGATCCTAAATACCGGAAAGTCTCCTTCTTGGCCACCACTTTGCCCGTCAAGGCTAACGTCACCATCATCATGTGAAGCCGTGCTGAAAGCGCACGTCATGTACTCGGTCTTCGTCCTACTAAGTCTGAAGCCTTTCGATTCTAACGTGTCCTTCCATAGCTCTAACTTCCTATTTACCCTTGTCCTGCTCTCGTCAACTAGCACCACATCATCAACAAAGAGCATACACCAAGGGATATCACATTGTATGTCCCCTGTGACCTCGTCCATCACCAAGGCAAATAGATAAGGGCTCAATGCTGACCCATGGTGTAGTCCTATTTTAATTGGGAAGTCGCTGGTATCGCCCCCATATGTTCGGACACACGTCATCGCATCCTTGTACATATCCTTGATGAGGGTAATGTACTTAGATGGGACTTTGTGCTTTTCTAAAGCCCACCACATGACATTCCTCGGAATTCTGTCATAAGCTTTCTCAAGGTCGATAAAGACCATGTGCAAGTCCTTCTTTTGGTCTCTATATCTCTCCGTCAACTGTCGTATTAGGAAAATTGCCTCCATGGTCGACCTTCCAGGCATAAACCCAAATTGGTTGTGGGTCACACTCGTCACTCGTCGTAGGTGATGCTCGATAACCCTCTCCCAGTGCCTCATCGTATGGCTCATCAACTTAATCCCCCGATAGTTACCACAGCTTTGAACATCTCCCTTGTTCTTGAAGATCGATACTAAAGTACTTCTCCTCCATTCATCAGGCATCTTGTTTGACCGGAAAATGAGGTTAAAAAGCTTAGTTAGTCATACTAACGTTCTGGCGCCCAAGCATCTCTACACCTCAATGGGGATACCATCAGGACCCATTGTTTTACCTCCCTTCATCCTCTTCATAATCTCTCCGATCTCTGCCTCTCGAATTCTCCTCACCACGCGTCTATTGGTATCCTCAAATGAGTCATCCAACTCCAGGGTAGGACCTTCACTCTCCCCATTAAACAATTTGTCGAAGAACTCTCGCCATCTGTCCTTGATCTCCCCATCCTTCACCAGTGGCCGATCCGACCCATCCTTGATGCATTTGATTTGGTTGATGTCCTTTGTCTTCCTCTCCCGAATCCTAGCCATCCTATAAATGTCCTTCTCCCCCTCCTTCATGCCTAGTCGTTGATAAAGGTCATCATAGGCCTGACCCTTCGCTACACTCACGGCACGCTTTGCAGCCCTTCTCGCTATTTTATAGCTCTCAATGTTGGTTGCACTCTTGTCAAGGTGGAGGCGCTTGAAACACTCATTCTTCTCCTGAATAGCCCTTTGCACCTCGTCATTCCACCACCAAGTGTCCTTCGCGTCCTGCTTGCTCCTCTACTCACACCAAGTACTTCTGCAGCCACCTTCCGTACACATGTTGCCATCTTTAGCCACATGTCATCTATATCTTCTCCTCCTTCCCATTGGCCCCTCGCCTAGAATCCTATCCCTAAACGTTTGCGCCGCTTCCCCTTTAAGCTTCCACCACTTTGTTCTCACGGTCTTGGCACGTTTGCCCCGGTGGACACGTATTCGGAATCGAAAATTCGCCACCACCAGCTTATGCTGGGGGACAACACACTCCCCAGGTATCACCTTGCAATCTACGCAAGCGCGTCTATCCTCCCTCCTTGCAAGGATAAAGTCGATCTGACTTGAGTGTCGTCCACTATGGAAGGTCACCAGATGAGATTCTCTCTTCCTAAAGAGGGTGTTCGCTATCAACAAGTCGTAGGCCAACGCAAAGTCCAACACACCCTCCCCCTCTGCGTCCCTACTACCATATTCAAACCCTCCGTGCACTCTCTCAAAACCTACATTAGTCGCACCCACATGGCCGTTTAGGTCTCCTCCTACGAAGAGCTACTCGCTGGCAGGCACCGTACTAACCAAGGTATCCAGATCCTCCCAGAATTGCCTCTTTGCGCTCTCACTAAGACCTGCCTGAGGGGCATAGGCACTGATCACATTCAAGGTCAAATATCCAACTACCAATCGGACTAGGATAATCCGGTCGCCTTGCCTCCTGACATCGACAACTCCATCCTTAAGGCTTCTATCGATCAAGATGCCTACACTTCCTGCTCGATGAAGCCCCAGTGAACCAAAGCTTGAAGCCAGTATCCCCCACCTCCTTCGCCTTCTGTCCCTTCCATTAGTCTCCTGGACGCAAAGGATATTTACACGCCTCCTAGTAGCGGCATCGACTAGCTCACGTAGCTTACCCGTTAGGGACCCTACGTTCCAACTACCTATACGGACCCTAGTTGGTTCGACTAGCTTCCTTACCCTTCGCACCCGTCGAGAGAGATGCGGAGATCCTTGCTCATTTTCCACTACACCCGGGCGCCGATGTAGCGCGCCACTAAGGAAATGACAACCCGGTCCTTGCTCACTTAACACCATGCCCAAACCACGACATGGCGTGTCCCCGAGGGGGAGACGACCCGACCCTTGCCCATTTGACACCATACCCGGGTTCCGATATGGCGCGTCGGTAAGAGGGTTATGCCCCAACGAATTTCTCATGTGTTTTATCTTCATAGAACGGCTAGGTTTTTACTTTGGCTCGCTAAGCCTATCACAACCCTCCTCCTTTACCAGGGCTTGGGACCTGCTATGTTGAGACAACATAGGCGGAGTTAAGCATATTACAAATATATATATTAAAAATAAATCTTCTCTAAAAAATGTATTAATTTTATTAAGCCTATTTAGTTAAGTATTTCTCTAACTCCTAATTTTGTAAGTGGAATAATCAAAATTCATACATTTAGAAAATATATTTGTATATATATTTAAAAGAAGTGAAGATAATTTTTCTTCTTGCAAAAAACTAACAACATTGACATTTTTATATAAATGAAAATCTATAACCGAATATATAGGGTAAATACATTTGTTACCAATCCGGACTTTATTTAATGACAAGATAAATCAATCTTCTGTGTTGAACCTTCTTAGTGAGGTGTGATGAGTGGCCATAGGTTCACAAGTGTTGAGTATTGTTTTCATGGCAAATAATTTTATCTACCGCGGTAGAAAAAGCGTTAGCAAAATATTATATTGATAATTTGGATTGTGTGACGAATTGTGAGAAGTAGATATAATAATTAAAATTAATGTGATATAAAAATTAAAAATAATATGTGATAATAAAAAATATATAAGTGGATGAATAATATATTTTATATTAAACAAAATTCTACTTGTTGATTTGTATTTTAATTTTTGATTTGTGTTATAATTTTTTTACAAACGAGAGTATCCAATGGAAGCGTCAACTGCTGCCCCACCACTATAGTAAACGATTTGCGTTTCAAAATAGTTACATTAAAAGGCTAGATTTAATTTTTGAAATGGATGATATGTTTGCTTATATCTGAAGCCACATGTCCACATCTACAGATTTAATTAAATATTGCTGTGGCCCACCCCAAAGATTTTTTACTTACTGGAGGAGAAAATGTGAAAATGACGTGATTCGGATGTAAATAATATAAAATAAATTTATATGAGGAAAAAATGTTCTATTTCTCGTGGCAGTTGAGACCGTGAAAAAGTTTTCATGAGAGAACATTGACAAAGTTTGCCTAATTTGGGAATTAAAAAATGTTTTCCCAAGAGATAACAATGACAATGTTTGCCATGATTTGGGAAGTAAAAAATTGACTAGAAAAACACATGTGATTAAATGGATTCTAGTTTTAAAAAATTATGCTTAAACTCTTAATATATATATATATATATATATTTATTTATTATTTAAGTTAATTGAAGTATGTATAATTTTAAAAGTCCAAATTAAAATGGATAGAAGATTATCATAAATTGACAATAATTACAAACACCATAATTCGTCAAATATGATCACGAAACATTAATAAATAATTTGAATTTGTAATAAAAAAATTAATAATGTTTATTTATTTTATATATGGAATATGAATATCAAATCAAAACTCGTCAAAAGATAATTAATTTGCTATATTATATATTAATATAAAATTATTACCTTTTAAATATATTTATAATCTATGTTCGAGAGTGTTTTATAATTTCAAAAATCTAATATGTGTAGATATAATTCCAATCCATTTGCCAAAAATTGACTCATAGATTACGAAGTAGCGCAATTTACCACATATAATTACGAAGCACCTAAAGTATGACACGTAGTATTTTTACTATATAGGAGGGGTAATCTATATACATATATAACATTACGGTACAGTACTCGTTCACTATATGCGTACTAATACTAAAATTATAGATACATTCAAAAACAAAAAGAAGTTCTCATAATTTTAGTTTCAAATAATTTTAATAGAGGACATTGTTATTTTTATTTGAAATGAAAATCATCACTTTTACAATTTACTCATTCTATATTATAATATTTTTGAATAATTCTTTTAAAGGACATTATTATTTTTATAAATTATTTTATTATTAAAATTAATGTTAATAGATAATTTAATTTTTATTACTAAGGTAAATAAGGGTTGGTTCAAATAAAAACTAGTGCTGGTGTGAGAACCTTGAGGCTGAATTTTAGTTTTGCTTTTAGTATGTCGGTTCGGTTATCGGTCTTGTACTTTTAAAAGTTCGATTATTTCGGTTCAATTTCTATTTTATTTTTAAAATAACCAAAATAACTGAATCGACTGAACTATATAAAATTTTTTATATATTTTTTTAGCAAAAATAATATAAATCATTAAATAATAATATTAAAAAATCAATATATTTAATTATATAATAAATTATAAATTATTTATGTTTTTTTTTTGTTATTTGGCTTAATAATTATTTTGGTTAATTGCGATGGATTTTTTTATTTTCTTTTCCTTTTTTTTTTCTTTTGGTTTTTTCCTCTCCTTCTAATAGTTTGGGAGTTCGGTCATAGCATCTATACTATTGATCAGTCGACGGTTGTCGCCTAATGGTCAACGTCTGCCAATGGCAGTGGTCGCCCGATCAATGGTGGTCAACGTCGTTAAATTAATTGATTTTTTATATAATTAATTTAAATATAAAAATTATTATTTTTTATTATATAATTAATATAAATTTTAATTAATTATTATGAGCCTTTGATTTTACACAAATTAATAGTTAAGAGTGGTCATCACATTCTCATTTCAAGGAGATTCTTATTACACAAATTAATACCTTTAATAATTTTAAAAGAGGCATTTACATGTCCATATATATGGACTTCTTAAAAAATCAATCGAAAAATACTACAAATACATAATAAATATATATAGAAGTGTATATAATACTCAAATGGAGTAGGGTCCTCTCGATTTTTATTTTTAGTAGAACTCACTTAATATGAGTATTATGTGGACTTCTATGTACATTATTATGTACTTATAACATTTGTCAAATCAGAAATTGAACGACTTGGGGACAGCTCGATTACACTTGTCAAATTCTATTATTAATTTCAAATAAATGGCACAACTTATGGCGTAGACAACCGATTCTGCCTTTACATATGTGGTCCACTTACACTTTAAATAATCTACGTACTTCCACGAATTAATTGATTGTTACATACTTCAATAATTATAATTTTATTATCATATTCTAAAATATTGGTTTCTGCAATTAATTGTTGTATTTTCTTTTGCTGTTTTGTAGGCTGATGAAGATGAGAAAAATGTGGCGAGATTAAAGATAGAAGATGCAATAGCAATTATGAATGGCCCAGACAGCCCTATGAGCATATAATTAATAAAAATAAGTCACTTTTTTTTTTTATTACCTATAAGTTCGTTAAGCAGAAGTTTTTCCACCCCAATTGAAAAAAAATATAATATACCTTGCCTAGTTTATTTTCTAAATTTAATTTTTGTTATGTTCGTAAATTAAGTAGTACATTCCACTTTTAATAAAAGGTGTTAGATCGTTTCATAAAATGTTCATTTCATATTTTCGGTATTTATTCTTCTCCCACCACTTTTCTTGTATATATTAGAGCATTTCCAATGTTTAAATATAGTTGGAGTAAATTATATTCTACATTAACCTATTTAGCAATTTATTCACTTTTAATCTTTCAATGCACAATGTTATCACAAATGTAGTGATGAAGTAGACATAATTAATGTCTACAATGTAGAGAAAAATGTGGTCCATCTATATTCTCATTCACATTCTAGTCCACCAATGGAGAGAGGAGAGATAAATATTATTATCATTTTCAAAATATCTAATCATTTAATTCATTTTCTTTCATATTTATAAATTTTTTATTTTGGCCAAGTGGACAATATTGTGCTTGATTATATTATGCATTGGAAATAATTTTTTAGAATTAAAGTTGTAAATCTAACAATTATCTTATGTGGTTCACAATCCATCTAATTAATTAACATTTGTCAAAATTTATATAATAACAACATTTATGCATTGGAGAGGATAAAGTTTTTCTTTTCTTTTCCTTTCCTGCATTAGAAGAATGAAGTTTACTTTTGTTAACTTTTTTTTTTTTTTTTTTTTNATAAATCTTCTATACACTGTATAAGTTGGTCTCTTTTTCAACAATAATTCACTAGGTTAAATTTAATTATGTTGTATGAAAATTAGACTATTAATAAGAACATTTAAGATTGTTGAAGCACTAAACAATGAACTTTTATGAGAACATCTCATTTTCTCTTCAAAACTTTTGCATTCAGAAATTTTGCATTGAGAAGATGTTCGACCACATAGTACAATTAGGAATTACTCAAGAAGACGGGTTCCTCTTCCTTAACCTACCCACTCAATAACTTTTCTAGCCACGTCGTGGACTTACACTGCATTTATGGTTCCCACCAAGCAGAAAACGAGGGGCATAGATAGCTCATGGCTAGAGTGGGCTATATGCCAAGGTCAATTAATTTTTACATTCTTTAGACGTATTTACTAAAAAAAATGAAACTAAATATTGTAATTAATTTAGCTCATCTTAAATTTATTTTAGCATTATATTTATGCCATATTTTAGCCTACTCCTAAAAGTATATGTTTTTTTTGGTGATGATTAATTATTAGGCCTGTCTAACACAAGAAGTATCCACCAATGTAACAGCATCATTTCTGATAAGAAGATACTATTTTTTTTTTTCTTCTCTATGTGACATTCTTTTTTTAACATTATCTTGTTAAAATTTATGTAATCGACGAAAATCATGATTATCATCCATAATAGAAATATATATAATTAATATATGGCACTTTCAACAAGTTACTCTTTTTTTAATGAAGTCGTAAATACATGTGCGATTAAATTGTCTGTGGTAAATATTAAATTATTTTCAAATACTTGGTAAATATAGGCACAAAAATATTACCGTTGGTGCCGCTATGAGCAATATCACAAGCTTAATTATTAGTGCACATTTATTTTTAATATATACATAGATTTTATTATTAGATCTAAATATTAAAAAAAGGAAAAAAAAATTAACCTCTCAAAGTATGCCATTTTTTAGAGTTTGCCATATAATTTTTTTTTTGACAATTTACCTTCCAATGTAATCGAAACTGACAATTTGCCTCTTCGATTGAAAACTCTAATATGACACAAAAGAGTTTTTAACTCAAGTAATGATAAATTTTAAATTAATCTTTAAAATTGATCTAGGGCTTTTAAAGCTCATGGCGAGGTGAACGAAATGAGGTATGATTTATCGAATTCTGAAAATTGATACCTCTATAATCGATTCACGAAGATAGTAGGAGCACGTGTGTATATAAAAAATTTCAATTCATGTTTTCTGATAATCAAGATATCCGATTTTCGATTGGGAGGTGTCATTTGAAAGCTAGTAGGACCAACTTTCTAACAGAAAAAACGAAAAAAGCTCTCGAGGGTAGGAGGGAGTGGGATTCAAGAACAATGGAAAGCCCGTAATCATAGCAACATAAATCTTATGAAAATCCAACGGTCGGATTTTGATCAGTATTTAGAAAACTACTGATCAATAGTTAGCTTTTTTTTAGGCTACTAACAAAAATCTGACCATTGAATTTTCATAAGATTTACTTCGATAGAAAACTCATCCTCCAAGCTTTCAAATGACACCTCATAATCAAAAATCGGATATCTTGATTATCAGAAAACTTGAATTGAAATTTTTTCTATACACACGTGCTTCTGCTATCTCCGTGGATCTAGAGGTATCAATTTTCAGAAATCGACAAATCATACCTCATTTTGTTCGTCTCGCCATGGACCCTAAATCAATTTAAATATTAATTTAAAATTCATCGTTAATTGAGTTAAAAACACTTTTTTGTCATATTATGGTTTTCAATCGATGAGGCAAATTGCCAATTTTGATTACATTGGGAGGTAAATTGTCAAAAAAATAAAAAAATATATGACAAACTCTAAAAAATAGTATATTTTGGGAGGTAAAAAAAAAAATCCCTCAAAAAATAACAAAAATATAAAATTTTAAAATAAAACTTAATAAAATAATAATTAGTTAATATCCTTAAATATTATCCCATCACCCCTTTTGTATTTCATTAGCCCAGTGTGAATTCTTCTGGCTATGCCCCGGTCTTGTCCCAGGCTCCTAGTTCAGATCTATCAAATATGTACTGAGTCCCAATTTTGATAACACTGAAACTTTAAGACTTACAACTAAATGAAAATAAATTCACATATACTCGAGATATTTGTTCTAAGAATTCTCTACTTGTGTAACAATCAACTCTCTAAAAAACCAGCTCTCTAAATGTCAATCGAGTTTTATATATACAAATGCTCCAATAAGGTAAGTATGTTCAAACGTTGGTTTCCATAACTTGAAGATCTACTCAGTAAATCTTCATAAATTTGGTAACTAGACCAATGTCCAGGTTTATCTCTCAATCACGATCAAGAGGTGATTGTTTATGAATTCATCTAGCAATTCATTGGTTTTCTTTAACTATAGTTAATTTTGAAAAAAGTTGGTATGGTTAGTTGTTATATATTAAAATAATATTTAAAATAAAATAATTAAAGTTGATATCAGTGTTCTAAAAGTCGCTAGGCGCTCGACCAGCGCCTAGCGCCTAGAGCGCCTAGTCGGAGCCTAGGCGGCGCCTAGTCGGGGCCCAGAAATCAATATTAAATATTTTATTTTTTATTTATTTTAACTACCTACAAAATAAAACTATCTCAACTTATAATAAATACACACGCCAAAGTCCAAATAGTAATATTAATATATATTAAAGAAAACATGGAAACAAAATAATGTAATTATTTAAAAAAATAAAAAAAATAAAAAAAACTGAAAAATTGCCGCCGAACCCGCCTAGGAGCGCCTAGATCCGCCTAGACGCCGCCCAACCGCCTGGCTGCAGAGCCCGCCTAGCCGCCTGGACGATTTTTTTTTTGCCAATTTGTACAAATTGGAGGCGCCCGAGCACCGCCTAGCCCGATTTTTAGAACAGTGGTTGATATGATGTAAAAGTAAGAGAAAAATGATTGAAAGCGGTGGTTAGTTAAAATTATGTGAGTGTGTGAATAGTGAATTAAAGTTGATGTGATGTGAAAGAATGATTGGTTGAATAATTGGTTGATGTTATTTAATTATATTGATAATATTGGAGATAGTGAAGTTGAATTAAAGTTGAGTTAAATTAGAGTTTTGATTAGTTTTCCATTTTCCTTTGTTAACATACGCACCACCATCATCCAACAAGAAATAGATTCAATCAATTAATTCATAGAATATGGTAAGTTGACTTCAACATGTTGTTATATGTGTCCTAGGGACAATCTTTTTGAAGACATATATACATGATCACATTAACAATTATATTGGATTATAATTATGGTACTGCAAGTAATTAATTAATTGTTTGATTGTTTGTAATTTATTAATTAATTACTCACTTGAGTTAATATTGCCATTAGCAGAGTGAGATGTTAATTGATAAAGTATTAACTCTCAAATCGCCTCAATCGATGATCATTAAGAAATGGATATTAATGATACGCGATAGATTGACATGTGGTCTGCATTACATTTTTAGAGAATATAATATGTCTCACGACTATGAATAATTGTAATTCGTGATGGACACATGGATACTTTGGAGAGTATTGACATACCCTACCGATAAACTATTTGTTTATGTGTCAATGGGAGTATCGGTGTGTGGAATGGTGTAATAGTCCATTGACTTGAGTTCAATAAGCAATTCATGTATAGAGTGATTTACTTAGACCTACTCCAAAGCTTACGCCCTTATGGGTAGATACGGGCTTGTGTTGGGTTGGTCACGATATACATGAAATTGGTAGTTGAGCCAAGATAGGATTCACTTCTCGAATATATTTTCGAGAGGACACTCGTTTTCTCTATACTGGGTTGATTAAGTCATTGGCCAATGCACGTGATTATATTTGAAATGGTATTCAAATATAATTGATAAAATCAACCAGTGAAATGAGATAAAATGATTATGCTGTTTGGATAGACACACGTTCAAATCCTAAGCTTAATCGAGTGGTTCGTGAATGAAGGAACCGAATCACTATTGACCAAAGGTTTGTTTGCTTTGTCTATGTAAACGTACTTCATATTTTGAGTTCGTCCTTCGACGCAGTCTAGGGGTTTCGTAAGGATCATAAATTAGATTTATGTCAATATATGAAGGCCTATAGGGTCACACACTATGCAATCTATTTTCCGGCTACGAGTGAATCGAGAGTGTTAAATATTCAATTAGATTGGAATATTTATTTTTGAGTAATGAGATTATTTTCTATTAGATAGAAAATATTTAATTAAGTTAAATTGGACTTACACTTAATTAAATCATTAATTGGAGTGAGTCTAATTACCTATTGGGCTAGGTTATCCTAAAACCCATATAATTAGGTATAACCTAATTATAAATAGGTGGTTATCT